GGTAAAAAATCGGTGCGAAAACTAAAAAAAAGATGACGGACCACTCGTCTATAATCGGTCTCGGGGGCAAAAAACATCAAGCGCATCACGGAGGAGACGGCAACGCACATCCCGGACTCAAACCGATCGAATTCGACGGATAAGAGCCCGGGTCTCTGTGTGTTGTAGCATTAAAGTTGCCGAACAGGCGCGAAGCAACTGTTGATTTCGTTCGAACTGCTGATTCTAGATTCCCCGGGAAAAGCCTTACTAATGAAACCCCCTACGACAAGCAGGTGGAAAAGGAATTCAGGTCATTTTTTCCACTCGGCCCAAGTTTTACTCGTCTCTGCTGCTGGTCAAGGGTTCGGATAAGAAAGAGCTAATGGTGAAGTAAGACACCCACCGGCTGATGTATTTCTGTGCGAGAATATTGCGAATCAAATTCCCGTCCAAATACAGCTGGGAATATTAACCGGAACCTTGTAATCCATCGCCATCACCCGTTCCTCCTACTGTGCAGTTTTGACCTATTCGGTGCGGAACCGTTTTCTGTACTTGAGCTATGAGCTTTGGTTATTATAGTTGGGCGGTGTCCCGAGCGGTGTCCATTAATTCCGTTTCGCTAAAAATCAATATTTTTTAATCCCCCCCCCCGTTTGGAACAAAACGTTACACTGAAAATGACCCCTCTCTATTTATTACGTAACGCTCTATAAACCCCCCCAGCCTTTTCATTTAATTAATTTTTGATTTCGTTTTGTATTTTTTATGTTTATGTAATTAATTATATTATTAATATTCAAAACAAAAACAAAAGATCAGCGTACCATCGAGTACCTGCTTTTCAAAAGTTCAAGGATTGCAAAAATCTCAATTTATAAAATTAAAACAGATCCATTTTGCAAAGCAAGATTTAGTGATGACAGCCTTCGTTGTTGTACCAAAAGCGTCAAAAAAGACCTATATTTTCAAACTTTACATCAAGAAACGAAAAAGAAAAACAAAATTTTCTCTGTTACGTAACGCTAAGCTTTACTACTCCTCCCCTATCTATAATTCCTAACGATCTCGGTAACGATATAGGTGACACCCTCTCCCCCTATAAGCGTTACGTAATTCATGAACGCTTCATTGCAGCAAATTTTTCTTCTTTTTACACCTATCCTCTTCGCGTTCAGACTCGTATCCCTCTGAAATTTTTTAACCCCCCTCACATCACATCAAGTGCCTGATCTATTCCCATCTATTTTTTTTCTATCCCTGCTCTATTTTCGTCATCACGACACACTCAAAAAAATCCCATCAATTATGTTTTTCCCCGAAAATCCCAAGTAATTACTAGACTGAAAAAATACATCCAAATGAGTGTCGTTCCCCCTGATATTGGAGGATATTTGGCATTATTTCCCAGTTTTAATCTAACCAGAAGCCGCCATCTTGGATTTCAAAATGGCGTCAGACATTGATTTCCGGTCTCAAGACGTCATCCTGATTCCAAAAATAGACATATTGGAGGATATTTGGCTTTATATCCCAGCTTTCCTACAACCGGAAGCCACCATCTTGGATTTCAAAATGGCGTCAGACATTGATTTCTGGTATATATAAGTCATTCTGATTCCAAAAATACCCATATTGAATGATATTTGGCATTATTTCCCAGTTTTAATCTAACCAGAAGCCGCCATCTTGGATTTCAAAATGGCGTCAGACATTGATTTCCGGTCTCAAGACGTCATCCTGATTCCAAAAATACACATATTGGAGGATATTTGGCTTTATATCCCAGCTTTCTTACAACCGGAAGCCACCATCTTGGATTTCAAAATGGCGTTAGACATTGATTTCTGGTATATATAAGTCATTCTGATTCCAAAAATACCCATATTGAAGGATATTTGGCATTATTTCCCAGTTTTAATCTAACCAGAAGCCGCCATCTTGGATTTCAAAATGGCGTCAGACATTGATTTCCGGTCTCAAGACGTCATCCTGATTCCAAAAATACACATATTGGAGGATATTTAGCCTTATATCCCAGCTTTCTTACAACCGGAAGCCACCATCTTGGATTTCAAAATGGCGTCAGACATTGATTTCTGGTATATATAAGTCATTCTGATTCCAAAAATACCCATATTGAATGATATTTGGCATTATTTCCCAGTTTTAATATAACCGGAAGCCGCCATCTTGGATTTCAAAATGGCGGCAGACATTGATTTCCGGTCTCAAGACGTCACCCTGATTCCGGAAATACCCATTTTGAAAGGTATTTGACAGGTGTTTAAAGGTGTTTAATTTTTTTTCTATAACCGGAAGCCGCTATCTTGGATTTCAAGGTGGCGTTGGTTGACGATTTCCGATCTCCACGTCACACCGATTCTGGAAATACCCACATTGCGTAATACATCATTTGAATTCACAGTTTTTCTGTATCCAAAACCGCTATTTCGTCTTGACACTGCATAATATTATTCATCAAATACAATTTCTGTTTAGTTATCTGCCATCACTGGCAATTCTGAATAATGCGCACCACGCAAATAAACAAACAACAGTACCGGATCGGTTCTTGAATTCAAAACATCATCCTTGTGAACACAGAACACCGGTACTGGAAAATCAGAACCGCACCGTGTGCAGCGAACTGGTGAACACGGTGCGGTGTTACTTGCAACTACCAAACCCAACCGACAGCAGCACCATACACTCGGGACAACAGATCAGCACATTGGTTATGCTTTAGAAAACCGTACCGGTGCTGTACCGGTGTTTTGCCCATCACTGAAGCCAAGACAGTTCTTCTGATCACACGTTCTAACGCGATGTTGAATAGCTGACACGTAAGTCCATCACCTTGCCGTAACCCCCTTCGAGATTCAAAGGGACTCGATAGAGTCCCCGATACTCGAACAACGCACATCACTCGATCCACCGTCGCCTTGACCAATCGCGTCAGTTTATCCGGAAATCCGTACTCGTGCATAATCGGCCATAGCTGATCTCGATCGATTGTGTCGTATGCGGGTTTTAAAGCGATGAACAAATGATGTGTGGGCACGCTATATTCGCGGCATTTCTGGAGAACCTGTCGAATCGCGAAAATTTGGTATACGAGAATGGTACAGTCAAAACAGCTCGGTAGGTTCAGGAACAGTAAGGGCCTCGGTAAATACATTGTCATCTGTTGCTGATTTAGTACCACCAATCTGCTGGTGAGCGATCGTTTATCGCGGCGCCTTTTTAATGGTGGTTGACGCATAAGATCGCCGGAACCCAAGTGTGTTGTAGTTGTCAATGCCATTCGTTCCGACAGCTGAGCGATCTGCTGTCCTTGCTTAGCCATTTCCTTTCTAAGCTCAGCGTGTGCGATCTCCTGTTTCTCGGTGATAGAATTAATCGCACTACCAAACGACGAAACAACAGATTTGATCCGAGCACTCGTTGCGCATCCAAAACAAGTTCGGACTAGTGTGGACAATGTTCAGAAAAGTCTTGTTCAACTTTTTGCCGCTGCATTCCAGGTGAATAATCCTGTCGCAAAACGCCATGCAGGAGACGGATTCTTCATCGCCTTTAACTGGTTCAGCGCATTAGTCACATATGGAAGTCATGTTGACTCAGTTTCCAATCCTAAATAAGAAACACCGGTGGAGATGCTCTAATAAGCAAGGAGTAGTTGGATTTTGCAGAGCGTCTGATATCGACAATAACACAACAATAAACACTACAAGATGTCCGATAAGATAACTTTTTCACTGTTTTCACAACATGAAATATGCTCCAAATAGACGATTATCGCAGCGAACTGCACTTTCCACTAGCAACCGGTACAATTTTACAAGTCAGTTTCATATGGTTCAGAGTGGCATCAGTTTGACTGAAACCAAACCAATGTTTATTGACTTGAACGTTCAAAAACGTAAAATTTGAAAAGTCGCACGGCATGTTTTGAAGTTAAAAATGAATTGTCCCCAAAGATACCCTGGAGGAACCTGTTTCGGTATTCTGGAGTGGTCCGTTTATCCAAACATGACTCACATGGCTTTATTTAGTTGTATTCAAATATCTGTTATCAAAATCATGCTGTTTGAAACGCAAAATATTGGAAAATATTACTTTTCCTACATCCGGCCACGGCGGGAATATCTCCGGAATGGTTTCGGATTGCGGGTGGAACACCTGCTGTTATGAAATTTCCAACCTTTTATCACAGACAAACAGACGTAACTCTTTGAAAAACTTGTTCTTGAAAACATAGTATCTCAAAACATATAACCTCAGTAACGACATCTATCTGGCTTCTCGCGGAAAACAAACTTGCTCGATAACTCGTAAACAATATTGCATAAAATTTCTATAGAATATATAGAAACGTCAAAGTGATCCGATGCCAGCGCTGCGGCGAGTAGTTCGCGGAACTAATAATATTCAAATCAACCGTTAAATGCATGAACGAAGATACACAATGATGAGTTACGTCTGTTTATCTGTGCTTTTATGGTCGTCTACAGGTTGTTTCAAGAAATTTTGTTGTGAGGTGATAAAATAGCAGCAAATTAATTTGGGGCTGTCGACATACATACATAACATACATAAAGGCTTTTTTTTTGAAAAAACACTACACATAGAATAGATTTTATTGGCTCAGATTCGAATCGGTAAAATGAACCGGTACACAAAAACCGGGTTAGTGATCAACTATATTTTTGAGGAAATTGCATAATTAAAGCATAACACATAAAATTGCATTTACCGGTTCAAACCCGAACCGGTAAAATGAACCGGTTCACAAAAACATCTTTTAGTGGTAGAAGAATTTCCCATAAATAGAAAGTATATTACTCTACTCCCTTCTAGTTCTAGGCATTGGAGGATTAAAACACAGTGAACAATTCCATACCTTCGATCCCGCGCCTGGTGTAGAATTGTTCACATTACTCCCTGAGTGCGGTAAAATCCAAACCAAAAATCTAACCAATTCTTCCTATTTCTCCTACCTTTCGCCCCCACAGCACAAAGGCGTCCCCTATTGTCACGTGCCTTGCTACGGAGCTCTGTTCGGGCCACAGCTGTTCGGCCATGGAACCCGCGTGGAGTCGCACAAAAGCTTCGGCCAGCCGGAGCTGAAGAAACAGGCCATCGCTCGCTCGCCGGCGGGTCCCGTGGTGCCACGGGCTCATCTCGAATCCAAACTGAAGCAGTTCAATCAGTTCAATAACAACAAAAGTCAGGAAATCCGCAGCAGGGAAGTCAACGGCCGGTTGCTCCTGGAGGGAGCGCTCAGGATCTACTGGGGAGTGCAGGGGATTATACATTTGAAGGAAGACGACGACCAGCGGACGGTGGTCACGGTTAGGAAACGCAATTCCTATCGACTGAGCAATCCGAGCTCGATGGTTTCGGCCGTGCAGGACATGGTGGTGGAGGACAAGGAGAATCTCAACCCGGATCGGAGCGATCCGATGAGTTCGAGTTTAACGGAAGGCCCGGACAATAACGATACAACTACGATCTCCGAGAGCATATCGTATGACACGTTGAGCATATCGTCGGATTTGAATTCGATCGGCTCGTCCAAGCCGAATTCCGGGGAAAATTCCAAGGAAGTGTCCCCGATTCATTCGAATGTTGCCAATGGAGGGACAAAGTACGTCACACTGCCACCGAAGTTGGATGTCAAACAGTTGGAATGGGACGAAATCGACGATTTGCTGCAGGTCGAGCGGAAAGTGGACGAATCGGAACGAATCTACAGGACGATGCCATCGCCGCTTCCGTCCCAGTTGGAAGATCGGAGTGAAATTTCGGAGAGCGCCACGGATACGGATTACAAGACCCTCACCCCTCAGACGGTTACCAATTCGTCGTCTTCGACGGACAGCAATAAGACCACCACGGCCACCACGTCGAATGGGGAGGAGGAATTTCGGACGCCGGAAGGTACGCTGAAGTCGCATGACTTTGAAGCGTTCAAAATGCAAATGAGTCAGGAGTTTATCAACGGGGCAGCAGATATGGGTAATACGGATGGAACGCTCAAGTTGAACCAACCGATCGATCCGGCGAGGATCAACGATTCGCTGAAGCTGTACAACGAATCGGTGATGAACCGCAGCCTGTCGGATGAACAGTGCCGGAATGTGTTTTCGCTGCCGCAAGGGAATATTACAGGTAGGTTTCATATGTTTCGTTTTATTGACTTTATTTCAGGAAGAAGTTATGCTGACAGGTGTGGGGGGTTTTACAGCGCTGATGGTCGTGGATTTGCTCTCGTTGTATAATTTCTCCTATACGTCCAACTTTGGCTCTATACTCCGTCATCTGGTCTCTGTCCTGGTAAGGTTTCTCCGGCCAGTGACCAGAGCTGATGTAGCTTTTGGGAATCTTGGATGGTTTCTGTATGCTATGGTCAGGGTATTGTCCTTGACAAGCGTTGATTCCTCCCGGATGGCACAGCTGGCAGCTGCAGAGCCCTCCAGCGCAGCAACTTTGCCCATTGCAACCGGTTCCATTGCATTCGCGAATGAAATATTTGCTGTCCTCGGGATACGGTCCTAGCTGGTACTCCGGCAGGTGATCGTAATCGATTTGATAGGAGGATTTCAACGGCGAACAGGCTGCTTGCTGCTGCCACGGTCGGTTCGCTTGAAGATCTGCGTATACTTCGGGATGTGTGTGGCATATGTTCGGCAGGAATCGGTTGGCTCCGCATTCCGTTGGCGACGGGTTGATTTCCGTAGCCTGTTCCGGTTGGGAGATCGGGGTGGTGCAGCTGGGCGGTGGGGAAAAACAGCTGGGTTGAATGTTGGGCTCACTTCCGTTCCGGAGCGATAGGTTGCGGTTTGTCACCGGGTTGGTGTAATCCGCAGTGTAGGTTGTGTCGAAGAACATGGGATGTTTGGTCATTCCGGGAAGAATTGGTTGAATTTGCTCACTGTAAATTTTCGTAAAGTTTCGACTTGATTGAACACCTGTCAGACCTACTTAGATTTTGGAAGAGAAGACAATAATTCAAGACCAACAATTGAAATGGCCTTAAAATGATTCCTTGTAGAGTTCACAAATGGCCGCCACGTAGACTATACATGCACTTCCACTTCGAATATTCAATTACACAAATCTTGGAAATCGGTGCCCCATTTCACCTGAAATTGCTACTTCATGTATGTTGGAGTGCAGCAAACGTGGAGTAGCCATTTGAATGTTGCACGTGTCGTAGAAGTTGATATTTGTGCACCTAAAGTTTTAAAGTGGTTCCTAGAATATGGATGTCACAGCGATTCACCTTAACTCCATTTTGTAAACAAACCTTGTAAGGCCATTTTCTCGCGAACCGAAACCTACATTTCAGTGCGAACATTTCAAAGGGGCGTAATTGCATTTGTAAACAATGGCTTTAGCCGTTGATTTCTCGCAAATAAATGCTCACTCTTCCAAATTAACAATGCTAGCTGGTAGAGGAAACATTTCTCTTCCTGTTGATGTAATTAATTTTCATGAGTGCGCTTTTAGTTGGGAGAAATCGACGGCTAAAGCCATTGTTTACAAAATAAATTACGTCCCTTTGAAATGTTGGCACTGATTTACAAACCTAAACCACAATCGGGTAAAGGAGATTTTTTCTCCTACCTGTTCGTTATGTTGGTTTGCCTTTGCGGACTTTGGTTCGCGAGAAAATGGCCTTACAAGGTTTGTTTACAAAATGGAGTTAAGGCCATTTCAATTGTTATTCTTGAATTTATTTTTATTTTTTAATAGGGTGAGCCAGTTTTAGCACTGTAATGATAGTCAGGATTCTGTCGTGTTTCGGGAATTGGATATTCGTTGGATTTGGTGAGCCCTTGGGTGAGCCTTGTTTAGTGAGGTTTCTGTTAGAGGAATACAATTCTTGGCTCGGGACGAGCTGCTCCTCTGTTTTCGTGTTTTGATAAACAGTTCGAAAGCTGATTTATCGGCCAGTATCTAGCCGGGCATCGCACAGTACGACGGGTGGCCATCCGTTTTCCATTACTCAACCGGGAATCAAGAGCAGGAACGTCGCTGCCATTGGGCCGCTACAAATGGTCAACTTTTAGTCAGCTATTTTGCATGAAGTTCCACATATGTTATGTGGTAATCAGTGCATGGTCCCTAAGATCTAACTATTCAAAAAATACTCGAAAAATGGTTCATTATGTAGGCACCTCTCGTCCACCGCAATTTTGGAACGGGTGCGCCTGATTGTCCCATACAGGAGGAAGTTATCCAATCAGCTGCTCGACGGATTTTAGTATTGTCGAGTTGTCAGCTGATGAGTTTTGGTGGTGAAGTCGGTGGGGGGCTTCCCAATAACTCTCCCCTTTTGGAAAATTGTGTCCCATTGTCAGTTACCAGCGTTTCAGGAGCTCCAAACCTAGCGAAGATTCACCGAATAATTCAGACGGTTGCTGAGGTGGTGATCTCCTAGGTTCGCATTACTCCTGGCCACATGCTGAAGGAATCCACCAGAATGAGGTAGTACCATCCATCCATAGGACCTGCATAGTCGAGATGTACACGCTGCCACAGTTTTTCTGGGGCTGACCACGATTCAAGATTCTCGACAGGTGCAGCCCATGTACAACATTTGTACATTTTACATTTATTTGTACAACATCACATTTAAGATAAGACGTTAATCAACAATAGTACGCCACAATACTCGGTTTGCGGCTGCCGTTCTCCATCCTCGGTCATGCCCAATGCTCGCTAGCTCCACGCCTTCTTGTGCCAACTGGATCAGTAGCGAACACCAACTTTGCAGGGTTGTTGTCCGGCATTCTTGCAACATGCCCTGCCCACCGCATCCTTCCGGCTTTGGCCACTTTCTGGATGCTGGGTTCGCCGTAGAGTGCAGCAAGCTCGTGGTTCAATCTTCGCCGCCACTCACCGTTCTCCTGCACACCGCCGAAGATCGTCCTTAGCACACGTCGCTCGAAAACTCCGAGTGCTTGCAGGTCTTCTTCGAGCATAGTCCATGTCTCGTGTCCATAGAGGACCACCGGTCCTATTAGCGTTCTGTACATGGTACATTTGGTGCGGGGGTGAATCTTTTTTGACCGTAATTTCTTCTGGAGCCCGTAGTAGGCACGACTTCCACTGATGATGCGCCTTCGTATTTCACGACTCACACTGTTGTCAGCCGTCAGTAAGGATCCAAGGTAAACGAATTCCTCCACTACTTCGAAAGTATCCCCGTCTGTCGTGACATTACTTCCTAGACGAATCCTGTCATGTTCGGTTCCGCCTACTAGCATGTACTTTGTTTTTGACGCACTCACCACCAGTCCGACCTTTGCGGCTTCGTGTTTCAGGCGGGTGTATAGTTCTGCCACCGTTCCAAATGTTCTTGCGATAATGTCCATGTCGTCCGCAAAGTAGACATTGACCGGATTTCGTGAAAATCGTAGCCCGGCTGTTGAGCCCGGCTCGTCGCATTACACCTTCTAGGGCGATGTTGATGAGTAGGCAGGAGAGTCCGTCACCTTGTCGCAGTTCCCGGCGAGATTCGAATGAACTGGATAGTTCACCCGAAACCCGTACGCAGTTTTGCACACCGTCCATCGTTGCTTTGATCAGTCTGATCAGCTTCCCAGGAAAGCCGTTCTCGTCCATGATTTTCCATAGCTCTGTGCGATCGATACTGTCGTATGCCGCCTTAAAGTCGATGCACAAATGATGCGTTGGGACCTGGTATTCACGGCATTTCTGGAGGATTTGCCGTACGGTGAAGATCTGGTCCGTTGTCGATCGGCCGTCAATGAAGCCGGCTTGATAACCTCCTTCCACTCCTCCGGTAGCTGTTCTGTTTCCCAGATCCTGACTATCATCCGGTGCAGGCAGGTGGCCAACTTTTCTGGGCCCATCTTGATGAGTTCGGCTGCGATACCATCCTTACCAGCTTCTTTGTTGTTTTTGAGCTGCTTAATGGCATCCTTAACTTCCCTCAGCGTGGGAGTTGGGTCAGGTCCGTCCTCTGCTGCACTGACGTAGTCGTTTCCTCCATTGCGGTGGTCTCCCGTGCCTACGTTCTCCTCGCCATTAAGGTGCGCCTAGAAGTGGTGCTTCCACCCTTCAATCAACTCACGTCCGTCCGTCAAGAGGCTCCCGTCCTTATCCTTGCACATTTCGGCTCGCGGCACAAAGCCGTTGCGGGATGCGTTGAGCTTCTGGTAGAACTTCCGTGTTTCTTGGGAACGGCAGATCCGAAAGATACGGGTCTGCTGTTTCCGCTTCTGTTTATACCGTTCCACGTTCTGTCGGGTTCCATGATGCAGCATTACCGTCCGCGCTGCGTTCTTCTCCTCCAAAATCGTTCTGCACTCCTCGTCGAACCATTCATTCCGTCGACTTCTTTTCACGTACCCGATGGTGCTCTCGGCTACGTCGGTGATGGCTGCTGTTACTGTACTCCAGCAGTCCTCTAGAGGGGCACATCGAGCTCGCCCTCCTTCGGCAACGCTGCCTCGAGATTCTGCGCGTATGCTAAGGCGACATCCGGTTGCTTCAGTCGCTCTAGGTTGTACCGTGGCGGGCGTCGGTACCGTACATTGTTGATGACGGAAAGTTTTGGGCGCAGTTTGACCATCACCAGGTAGTGGTCAGAGTCGATGTTAGCGCCACGATAGGTCCTGACGTCGATAATGTCGGAGAAGTGCCGTCCATCAATCAGAACGTGATCGATTTGCGATTCCGTCTGCTGTGCTGTGGAACTCCAGGTGTAACGATAAGGGAGGCTGCACAGAAAAAAATTATGAATTTTAACTATCGCGTAAAATCTCCCTTCGTTTAATTTTGAGCTATACTTGTCATAAACAGCGAAATCGTTTACAAGCTTGCATACAATATTGCAAATTTATGTTATATTACGCTTAAATTTACGCGAAATATCGCGTAAATTTATGTCAAATCTAGCGTTAATTTTATGTGCGCTATATCTCGCAGAAATTTACATGAATTTTTCAAACGGTGTGTGTTGGAAAAAGGTGCTACGTATGGCCATGTTCTTGGAGGCGGCGAAATCGATGAGTCGTAGGCCGTTCCCGTTCATCAGCTGGTGGGCGCTGAACTTTCCAATCGTCGGTCTGAATTCCTCCTCCTGGCCTACCTGAGCGTTTAGGTCTCCTATGATGATCTTGACGTCGTGGCTTGGGCAGCGATCGTACTCGCGGTCGAGCTGCGCGTAAAATGCGTCCTTGTCATCATCATGCTAAAGTTAAAGAATCGGCCCTTGATCCTCAACCTGCACATTCTTTCGTCAATCGGCCACCAACCGATCACGCGCTTCTGCATTTCGCCCATCACGATGAAAGCTGTGCCCAGCTCGCGTGTGTTGCCGCAACTCTGGTAGAAGGTATGATTACCTCTAAACGTTCGCACCATCCTGTCCAACACACCTCCTGCAGCGCTACGATGCCGAATCCGCGGTCCTTCAGTAGATTGGCGAGTATTCGGGTGCTCCCGATGAAATTGAGAGATCGACAGTTCCACGTGCCGAGTTTCCAATCGCAAGTCCTATTTCGTCGCTGGGGACAACATCTCCCCTTTTAATAGAGGTGGTAGGGGTCGAACCTTTGTGGTAGTATTCGGATCCGTGAAGTGCGCCTAGGAAGATCTACCACCGGTTCCACTTCAACAGCGGACTCGAACTCGGTCGATGTTGACGTTGTTGATGACGTTTACCTATACGGAACAATGGCCGAGACTTCGTGACGTGGCGTAGACGTAGCACGAGCCGGTGCAGAACCTAGCGGGGCTTATTACGGATGTCACTTCACGGTGAAAACTTATTATAAGTATCACTTCCTTTTCACCGTGTAGTGACACCCGTAATAAGGCCCGCTGTATGCTGAGAACTGGAGACAGGCACTGACGCAGGCGAATATGAACCAGATGATGGCGTAGGCGTAGCCGGCACAAGATCTCGAGTGGCAACGATTGCGGATTGCTTCGGCTTCGCGTCTGGAGCAAGACGACTCCGAAGTTTTTTGGTATGCGAGCGCAGTTTTCGGTGGTCTTCGACCCACACGTTGTATATGACATCTTCGATCTTCTCGATGACGACACCGGGAACCCACTTCCAACCGTTTCGACCATGGAGCTTAGCGTATACGGGATCAATTCGGTTGAAGGACCTCGGTTTCTTACGGTCGTCGTTACGAACATGACCTCTGATAGCGACTTCTGATCCGGTAAAGTACGGTTGGACGTGCTTCGGTACGTCAACAAGAAGATATCCAGTGTTTCTTGGATCGATCCTCGCCCCTCTCGGATTTTCTTGACGGCCCGCTTGTAGGTATCCGCCAATCGTCTCGCCTGGTCATTCGATTGTGGATGAAACGGAGCTGTCTTGAGGTGCGGGAGGCCATTAGAAGCGCAAAAATCTGTTAAGCTAGCGCTACTGAACTGGGTACCGTTTTCGCTGACTAAATAGAGTAACGTTCATACCCAGCTGAGTCGCAGCAGATGTGATGCGGGTCGTTCGGATGATTTCAGGCCACTTGGAAAACGAATCGATAGCAAGTCGGTAGTATTTGAGTGAGGAGGTGATCTAGCTACGGACGCACACTGTTGACATGCCATGACGAAGTTGACGATGTCGACATCCAAGCTGGGTCAGTACACGTAGCTTCTTGCGATGGATCAGTTCGAGGCATCGCTTTCGATGCAGCGACGGAATGATGAGTCGTTCGGAAAATAGGATGCACCCATCCACCACGAAGAGCGATTCCTGTCTCGATTGGAACCGACGAAGGTCTGACCCGTTGAGTTTAGACTGGGGCGTAGCGGACTTTAACTTTAACTGTATTAGTCACAACTGACCTGAGATCCTCTTTCAGGTTGAGGCTCGCGTTGACGTAGTCCACTTCAGGCTTCACGTGCTGGTTGATCAAGAGTAGGTCTGCGTTGCAGGGCGAGAGCAGGTCTGCGTTACCGAACTTCTCGGTAGGTCAGGTAATCATTGCCGTCCTCCTTGGTGGTCTGCAAGCAGATGTAGAGTGGTCCGATTAGTTCAAAAATTTGGATTTTTAAATGTTGAACTATTTAAACTTCCCCTCAAAATTTTGTCCAAATCGGAAGAGGTAAATTTCAACTACCTCGGACACTTGGTGCGGAATAACCCACTTGTTGATTGCCCAGGGTCTGCACCACGGCCTCTGATAAATTGTTCGGTTGTGGCTCCGCCATCGCACTTTCTACGCGCAATTTTTCTGCACAACTCCTACACCTCGACGCCACTGTTGCGATATGAAGTGATTGGGCCCTATTAAGTACGTCGAGTCGAGCCTCACTTCTGGTCACTGGTCTATTTTGGTATTACAGAAATAATACCAAATTAGAGCAGTGACCAGAAGTGACGCTTCAGAGACGAAGTTTCGTTAGATTGTACGGTCTCTATTGCTGAAGGAAGACGCTTCCTAGGATCGCTACTGGATATTATGAGGCCTGAGCATATTGTGGAGAAACAAAGGCACTTAAGTTCCAATAGGAAACCTTCCTGAATCTGGGGAACAAACCAAAAGACAAAAACGAATTGCTACAGTTTCACACCAAATTTTATTCTCTGTCTCTGTTATCTGTGTTAGCATGTTTATGTCACAGAATTTTCGCATTCCGTCTTCCATTTCTCCGATTAATCGTAGAATCCACCGTTCCTCAGTCTCAAATCGTGATCGAATTTGGCGTGGCGAAAGATGAACCTACAGGTCACAGCGGGAATCGGTTTACTAAACGGTTCACAGCGCACCTTCCGTGGTCCGCAAGGACTGCCACATGGTCCACAAGGTGCCGTATAGGAATCAAAGCAGCTGCCACCAAAGTAAGGTCCACAAGTCGGTACCGGACATGGTCCCCCACAGGGACCGCAAGGTCTATCGCAGAAAAAGCTACTCGGCAAACAGCAGGATGTGAATGGGAAGTTAATACAATACATTTTCTTTTTTTTCGCGGAAATTTTTCTCGGAAAACTTGAATTTTGACGTCCGTTTGGATCCAAAGCTGACCTGTTTATGACTTTCTTCTGAAATCCTAATCAACCAATGCCAACTTTGATTGATTCATTCTCGCTTTTTTTTCCAGATTCATTCCACGTGGAAAATGACGGCACGCTTAAACATCCGGACAATCTGAGCCCGGCGAAAAAAATCTCCTCCCCTATGAAATCCCACGCCATGAACGGTGGAAGCAATGAGCGCACAAAAATCGCCTACCAACGGCATCAATCGGACTCCACTTCGGTGACGTCACCCGGCACCGATACGGACACTTGGACGGGCGACCGCGGTCTTCTGCGGTCCAAAAGCCATGGGAACAACTACTCCGGCAACAGTTTCATGGACAGCGATGATGAAGGAACGGAAACCCTTAGACCCTCGGACCGTCCTCAGACCTCGATTACCATCAAGATGGATTGCTACGACGAGCTGGATCAGAACAAGTCCATCAATGGTGAGGAGGTGATAAGCCCGACGGATGAGAGCATAACGACGGCCAGTTTCACGACCTCAACGACGACGACCGTCACCACGGACGACGAAGGAGTTGTGCTGAGGAAACCTCCGAAAACGGGTTCGACGGCTATTAAGAGGCGCTCCGGCAATCGACGCTCCCGGACGAAGCTGAAGCGACGGTGCTCGATCAATGGGCATTTCTATAATCGAGAAACGTCGTTCTTCACGCCGCCTCGTGGATCGCAGATGAATGTGTGGGTGACGTCACTGGTTAATACACAGGAGGTGAGTGTGAATGGAGGCGTTTTTAAATCTCAAAATGGTGTGTAATATTCGTTTATTGGGAATTTTAGGTGATCAATCTGATGTTGGAGAAATACAAGGTCGAAAGTCGAGCGGAGAACTTTGCCCTGTTCGTGATCAAAGATAACGGGGAACAGAAGAAGCTGAGGGATGACGATTTTCCATTGGTGACGCGGATCATTCTGGGCCCTCACGAGGATATCGCGAAGCTGTTTATCATGGATGGACAGCAGACACCGGAGATAAGGTAATGCTTTGGTTACATTTTAGTTTAATCGGACGTCCGTCAACGCAACCGATGGGACATGTTTTCCATACGGGGATGGTAAAATTTTAGCGTTTTTACTCCTACTTCGTTGTTAGTTTGGCGATTCAAGAGTAATAGGGGTTTGATCTAATTTCTGTACTACCTAGTACAACACGCGCTTTGCCTCTCTTTTTCGAACGGGTTTGAACAAAAAAATGAATGTTTGAACTAATCTTGTTTGTATTACATATTCCATGCGCGAAGTTTACGATTTACATAGTTGATGATTTATTTATTTATTTATTATTCTCTTCATCGGACTTTTGTTGTCTAAATGAAGATTGATGGGGAAAAGCCTATTTGGCAAATAGGCGTAAAAACCCCATATCTTTTCAAAATACAAGGAACAATATAAAAAGGACAGAAAACACATCAATTATAAAAATAAACACCGAATAATAATAATAATACTATGGTCATCATCATAATAAAAAAAAACACCTCGTCCTATGGCATGGAGTTGTCCTTGGATTAGTCGAGGCCGTCATCGCAGAGTTGATCGGGAACAAAAAAGGAAACAGGTAGCAAAATTCATCAGATGTACATTAATGGACAGCTACTCACCGTCTACCAACAATTTGCTGATTGAAAGCAGTTGCATGTGTCGAACCGTATCGTCACCTATCCAGCAGTCTACGTTGAATCCGTTGACGAAATGTTTCCACTGTGCAGTTGAAATCGAAAAAAACATAGAATTCATTGAAACGGGCAGACATGAACCGTATTGGATCTTGTAATCGGTAATTAGCTGCACGGGGACCGAGATGCAGGAAACTTCTCGATCGTAGAACTCGTTCAGGTGCATAGATTTTGAATTCAGCCAAAATTCCGGGAGAGTCGATTTCGCTTATCGACACTGTTGCTGCAAAAACTGCCTGGTTAATCTTCCGTCTACGTTCAAGAGTTTTAAAACCCAGTAGTTGGCAACGATCTTCGTAGGGTGGAAGGTTCGTAGGATCGTACCAAGGAAGGTGGCGAAGAGCGTAACGAACGAATTTCCTCTGAACAGACTCGATCCTCGGTATCCAAACTGTTTCATACGGACACCATACTACTCAGCAAATTCCAAGATCGATCGCACTAGAGAACAATATAGAGCTGTCAGGCAGGTAGGATCCCGAAACTCATCAGAGATCTTAAAGGGTGTCCACGATGAAATTGCCACACACAAATTGATTCGCAAAATTCGAGTTTTCATCCGATTGCCATCAAATTTTCAGGGATTGAGAAATAACTATTAAACTTCATTTTACCATTTTACTCGTATTTTATTTACAGTCCATACGCAAATGCCCGCACCTTGGCCTTAACCCCGGCCATAAGATTCTGCACAACCTGTGAATCAACCGTTTTTTGCATGTAAACCCATACTTTCTTCAGTTCCTCGACTGTCTTCACTACCTTAGGTCGTTTAAGAAGGTGCTGCTTCATAATCGCCCAGTACTTCTCGATGGGGCGGAGCTCCGGAGTGTTGGGAGGGTTGAACATTTTCGGCACGAAATTGACCTTATTGTCCGCATACAACTTCAGCACGTCCTTGGAGTAGTGGCATGAGGCCAAATCCGGCCAGAAGATTGTTGGGACGTTGTGGGCCTTCAGGAGAGGAAGCAGCCGCTTCTGGAGGCACTGTTTTATGTACACCTGTCCGTTCATCGTGTCCTGGGTCACGAAAGGTGCACTCCGCTTCCCGCACGTGAAGATGGCTTGCCAAACCAGGAATTTCTTCGCAAATTTGGACATCTTCTGAGTGCGGACATGCTCCGGAACGCTGAACTTATCCTTGGCCGTGAAAAACAGGTTGCCGGAGATCTGTTTGAAGTCGGCCTTCACATATGTTTCGTCGTCCATGATGCAGCATTCAACTTTCGTCAGCATGTTGAGGTACAACTTCCTGGCACGGTTTTTGGCGGACTTGTTCTGCTTCTCGTCGCGATTAGGGGCCTTTTGTACCTTGAACGTTCGAAGCCCAGCCTTAGTTTTGGTCTTCTGGACAAAACTTCGGCTTAGGTGCAGCTTCTTAGCCACATCCCTAACGGAGGCGTTCAGATTTCGGTTGAAGGCCCCAACGATTTTTGGTGTTGTACGGAATACTTTTTCCTTCACTTCTGGGCTTCCGATCGGTGGTCAACCGTTCCTCGAACCGCTTAATCACTCGCGACACCGTGGAATTCGCGATTCCCAACGTTTTAGCGATGGAACGATGCGAGAGATCCTTGTTCTCGTGATGAATGCGCAACATTTTATCACGCACGAGCTGTTCTTTCGACTCCATTTCCGCGAGTTTTGGATCACAGGACTTTAAAACTTGCAGGATGTAAATAATGCACTATGAACTAAATCCACCCAAATTTTCATTAAATTCTACCCAACGGTTAAAAAGTTAGAGCAATTTCATAGTGTGGCAATTTCATCGTGGACACCCTTTAAAGATGAATCCGAGTTGCCTGTTAGCTTTGGCTATGATATCCCTGTAATGTAGCTTAAATGTCAACGCAGAATCAAGTGTAATTCCTAGATCACGAACGTTGTCCACACGCTGCAAGGGTTGGTTATCGATCGTATAATTGAATGCAATAGGTTTTAGCTTGCGATAGAAAGTGATGATATTGCATTTTTGAACACTAAACACGAGAAAATTCCTAGAGCACCACTCTTCGAAACTATCGATCAGGTGCTGCAACCGCAGGCAGTCAGTGAAGTATCGCACAACCGCGTACATCTTGACATCGTCTGCATAGAATGACCGGCAGCCAGTTGGAAGTATCAAACCGATTTCGTTAATGAATATGGAGAATAGCAGCGGTCCCAAATTGCTGCCTTGAGGAATGCCTGAAATGATTGAAAAATATTCCGATTGATCAGACCCGATTTTCACACAAAGCTCTCGATTGGTAAGATACGATTCAAACCAACGAGTGAGTTCATGAGAAACACCAAGCTTCTCGAGTTTGGCAATTAGAATGACATGATCAACCCGGTCGAAAGCAGCTTTGAGATCCGTGTATACGACGTCCAACTGTGACGCTGCCTCCATATTCCGTAGGCATAGGGAAATGAAAGGAGCGAGGTTTGTTGAGACCGAACGTTTGGGGTGGAAACCATGTTGGTCAGGAGAAATGTAGTTTCTACAGCTGGCAAATAAAGCGTGGTTGATGATTATCTCGAATACTTTCGAGCAGGCACAAAGTGAAGTAATTCCTCGGTAATTCTCCACATTTTGTTTGTCTCCTTTCTTGAAAATCGGGAACATGAACGAAGATTTCCAACGAGAGGGATATATACCTTGTTGTAACGAAATATTGAACAACTTTGAAAGCGGAGAGGAAAGCTCTGTTGAGCATCTTTTGAGTATGAACGATGGAATGCCGTCAGGCCCAACAGCGTTCGAGAATTTCAGCTTCTGGATGGCAGAGTCGACGAGGTCCAATGTGACCGTGAAAATATCAAAGCTGAACGCGTTACTGGGAGTATCTCTGATCCCTTCAGCAACTTGGCTTAACGATGCCGTTGAATCGTTGAAAACACTCTTGAAATGCTCAGCCAGGAGGTTACATTTCTCTAAAGAAGTGTTGGCTCTTTTATCGCTTAGATGAATCTCAACCGGTAGCCCATCCTCTTTCCTTTTTGTCTTCACAAACGTCCAGAATAGTTGAAATATGATGAAATATTAGATTTAAAATGGTAATTTTATACGATAAATGAGGATGAGATAGTTCCGTTAGGGTGCTGCAGTGTGAAAATTGTATATAGAGGGGCATCCTGTGCACCAGCTTGGATCATAATGATATTGAACCTACTGCCAGTTGATTTGTTTCATGCAGCTGATCCAGGGATGCTCACTATTCCCCACCTGTTCACTATGCCCCTCCTCCCCCTAGAGAGTAGAAAGCGAGCAAGGACAACTTTGAGGAAGGTACGAATCGGGTTGATCATCTGTCTTTACCAAACTGCCCAGTTGGGAAGAAATGGTGAGGGATATCTCCCCCGCCACCACCAAGGTTGCAAATACTCATTTCAACAGAAACAACGTTTTTTAAATTATGAAACAATTAGATGCTATGATCATATTTTGAATTGGTGAGATACAAGAAGAGGTTGCAAAGAATGTGTTTGACATATTGAACCTGTTTATTTCACTTCATGAGAGTCCCAATCAGTGATTTTTCACACACTCACTCACTCAGCGATCAGCAAATCGCTGATTGTGACTCATAGAAAGCAAAATTTACAGGTTTTATGTTTAAAATATATACTTTGTAACCTCTTCTTGTAAGTTACAAGTAAAACATGTCATCATACCATCTTTTGGTTTTATTCTTTCGGAAAACATTATTTTAGCTGAAATGAGTATTTGCAACCACTGTTAATCTTTCCATGGATGTGACAGAGTCACACATTTTTGACATATTCTTTAAAATCTATCACTCCATCTGGATTCCAAATTGTTGACTGGTCATAGTGTCTATTGTGCGACTTACCTTGTGAAGAGCTGGTCCGAAAGTGAGTGGAAAGTTACTCGTGTGTGTTTATGAAGCGTTGCCATAGATACCTCCGTTTATCGGCATTGAACTGTTGCGCTTACAACGGGGGGCTGCACACACACGGCTTGCTGACTCGTTAAGCGCCAAGTTAAGACCTGCTTACACTAGCGCTAATATATGCCACACAACTATGTGACTACTACTAGGTTTCAAAAAGGAATCTTTAGACTTATGTGGAAATATTATAAGTTGAGTTTTGGAAGCGTTTTGAGAAATCTCCCATTTTTGTAAATAATAAGAGAAAATATCTAAACTTTTCTGCAGTCTGCTGCAAATAACACGAAGACATCTTCCTTTAGCGGAAATGCGAACAAAGATTTGTTGGAACCCTGAGGCAAATCAGGGAGGTCCGAAGTGAAAATGTTATACAATATAGGCCCAAGAATGCTACCCTGAGGA